TCCTTGACCTTGCCTGCCCTCTCTGCCAGCACCTGCTGGAAAGTCGTCTCTAAAGTGGCGGGGTCCCAGTCAGAGTCCACCAGCTGTGAAAGGCGCTCATTGTGAACCTTCTTCATGGTCGCTAAGCTGTGCTGCTGGGTTTGTAGCTCCTCTCGCTTGACGTCGATAGCTGCAGACTCCCGAGCCTGCTTTGAAGCATCACCAAACTCATTCGTCAAGCGCTCCTTCTGGTCTTCGAGTGTTCGTACGTTGTTGGACGCTTCGGATATGCGTTCGTCGTAGCGTTCCGAGTTCACCGCGGTGATTGCGTTTTGGAGCTGCTTTTCGACATCTCGCTTCTTGTCTTGAAGTATGGCTTCGCTGCCCTCATCTGCCTTGATGTTGTTCATGGTCCTCTGGAGATCGGAGATGCGTTTGTCGTTGTTCGTGATCTGACTCCGGGCGGAGTCCTTGCTCTGACTAAGTCCCGATTTGCGTGTTTTTAGCTGATTGAGATTATCCTGGGCTTCACGTAGGTCGCGTTGTGTCTCCTCCCGAGTTCGACCCAGAACCTTGTTCTGATCGCGAGACATCTTGTTTAGGATCTGCTGGAACTCCTCCACCTGCTTCTCGGTGATGTCGTAATCAAACCCACGCACAGCATGTCGCTTAGCGGCTTCCTTGATAGAGTTCTCGCGATGTTGGACCTGACGCTCATACTGCTCCTTTTGCGCCTCGTACTTGCCGATCTCGCTTTGCTTCATTCCAAGAGCGTCTCTGTTGTCTTCGAGGTTGTTCTTGAGCTCAAGATATTGATTCCGGAATTCTTTGGCCTGAGTTGAGTATGTCGCGACGCGCTCTTCGTACTGATCTAGCATGTCTTGGAGTTCCTCGTCCGATTCAGCCAGCTCCTTGATGCTGTCTTGAAGCTCTGCAACATTTTCCCTGTTGATGTCTAGCGTCTGGCGCTTGGACTTCAGCTGTTCCACGATCTGTACGAAGCGCGCCTGGTGGTTGTAGGCGTCTTCATACTCCTGCTTCGCCTCAGTCCATTTCTTATCGACGTCGTTGTAGTCCTCTCGCAGCGTCTCGATCTCGTCAAACAGTTTAGCTTGCCGCCTCTCGCTGTCCGCTGCGCGCGTCTTGTCCTCTTTGGCGTTGGCCTCGATGATCTTGAGCTGGCCCAGTTCGACGTTTCGGTCCTTCCGGATCTTCTTGATGTTGTCGATGGCTTTGGTGTATTTCAAAGCTTCGAAAATCTCATCAAACTTCTTCTTGAGGGTAGTCGCATCGCTCAAGGGCCACAGACTGTCCTCTTGATGGCAGAAGATGACGTTTTCCAGGATGGCTTTGGATACACCGAGATACTGAGGGATGATCTGATCAAGCTCGGCGACACGGGTTGAGATGGAATGCTTTTCGCCGTCTTTGATCATGAGCAATGAGCCTTCTAGGGTCTTCTGGCTCCTCGTAGTCTTCTTGACGGTGATTTGCATGCTACGGGTGGCGACCATGCGGACACCAGAAGTAGAGCGGAAAGACAGCTTGACCTGCGCCACACCATCCTTCTCATTTCGGAGCGATGGGTCGTGGATGAAAGCGCCTCCAGTCTTGCTGCTTGACGGAAGCTCGCCGGTAGTCGCATACTTGAGAGATTCGATAATGGTTGTCTTTCCAGAGCCGTTCCAGCCAACGATGAGTGTGAGGGGTGCAGTGAACTGAATGACCTCTCCTTTTTCTGGACCGAAAGAGCGAACGCCCTGGATCATTAGGCGATCGACTTTCGACATGATGGCGGTTCGCGCTGCCGGCGCTGCCTCTTTTCCTGGTGTCTGTGAGGCTGCGCTTCTGGTGATGGGGGATCAGCTATTCGTTGTCGCACAATTGAGCAGGCGGATGTTGGAATTGCACCCCGCAGCTGGGTTGATATAGTAGCGTGTTGTTTGCTGCCTGTCAAACAGGCGCGGTAGCCTGGACGCGTTGACTAGCGGCGCGGTATCACGTGCAGAAGAGGGCCGTGCGGGTTGGGCTCACAAGCGCAACACTGTTGTCGTCATGCTAAAGTGCGGATGGGCATGCACAAAACATAGAAATCCCATCACGTCCTCGGGGAAGCTGCCCGCGCCTATCACCCGCGGCTTTATTGCACGACATCATATGCAGCATCGTGCATTTGAGACGCCATGGCGCAATATCAAAATGGCGGTGCTGAGGTACGCTGACTGGCCCTGCATCCTTAGTAAATCTGAACACCTGTCTCATGATTGTAGATGATGGCCGGAATGCCTATGCACCCCCAGACGCAGGAGTTTAACGGGCTGCCCATGGACGATGGCATGCAGTCGATGGATCTGGATATGGGGTCGCTGGACGGAGCCGAGGGCGGCCAGAACGGCGGATTCTCCTTTGCGGATCCACAGATGCAGGCCGCGAGTCTACCAGCCAGCAGCACCATGGGCGACATGCAGATGACAGGCGCAGGCGCTGGGCCTCTACCGACGGGCTTCGGCGCCCCCAACATGAACCCCTCTGGCAGCACCCTGACCGAGTTCACCAAGCGGCGGAACTGGTCGCAGCGCGTGCTGGAAGAGCTGCGCGACCTGCTGCACATACTGACTCCCGACGGCAGGGTCCTCTATGTCTCCCCCTCATGCAAGGCGCTCACGGGCTGGGACCCTACGCATGTCATGGGCCGCTTCATCAACGAGTTCATCCACCCCGACGACATTGGCATCTTCGTGAAAGAGTTCAATGAGTCGATCGCGTCCGGCAACCCGCTCCGCTTCTTCTACCGCTTCCGCAAAACCGACGACACATGGATCATCTTCGAGTCGCACGGCCATCCGCATCTCAGCAGCGACCAGAACTCGTTTGCGCCGCCGAACACCATCAACTGCCGCGGCTTCTTCATGATGGCGCGCCCCTACCCGACCAAGAACGCCGCCCTCCTCGACTCCTTCCTCGAACACAAGATAGAGAACGAGCGCCTCATGAAGCGCATAGCCGAGCTCAAGCGGGAGGAGCAGGACGAGCAGGACGACTGGGCAAAGAAGACGGAAGGCGCCACCACCTCGGTGACTCCTTCCGAATCGCATGTCACGCAGAACATGAGCCAGGCCGATGCCGCGTCCTATGCGCAAATGCCGCCGCCAGCCAAGCCAGTCATCTCCAACACCGCCCTCACCCGCCAGAACCTCGACGAGGCCCTCGCCGCAAGCAAGCCCGATAGTATCAACGACAAGATGATGCGGTATGAGGGCGCAAATCATCTAGAAACAATCGAGATGTTGACCGGCCTCCGGTACAGGGACGGCGAGCGCTCACAGGGTATAAGTACCGGTGACGCCAGCCCGAACCTCATCCGTGGCGATGCAGGCATACAAATATCGCTAGACCGCGATGGCCGAAATTCTTCTGACAAGAAGAAGAAGCTCAAAATCGCCGACGAATACGTTTGCACAGACTGCGGCACATTGGATTCGCCCGAATGGCGGAAGGGTCCAAATGGGCCGAAGACGCTGTGCAATGCATGCGGATGTAAGTCGTCAGCTCCAGAAGCAAGGAGGTATAACATGCTAACTGCGACAGTGCGCTGGGCAAAGAAAGAAAAGAAAAAACAACAAGGTCCTACCAGTATGCCAAGTGGAAGTGGCATGATGCATACACCATCCATGCCAATGCACAGCAGTACGGGCTCTAGCTAAAACCAGCATGTTGCTGTTGTCGGTTGCCATCCTTGCGACTTTTACACGGCGTTTCTTATAAGTCTCTCTTCTCTATTCTTTCTGGGTTTCAAGGTGTCAGGCATATCAACGGCGTTGCATTTGTGGCTGATCATGGGCCTTTGGTTGGTTTTCCTTACGATCGGCATATGATTCCCAGGGCCATAGATAGATTCGGGCTGAGCAACGATACCACTTCTCTGTAGCGGGGATTGCAAATTGCAACTACCAGAGATGCATATCTGATCGCTCCACGATCGATTTGCATCACGAGGCTGGATTGATAATGGTACCAGAATTTCCCGAGCACATGCTCCTCATCATCTTCAGCACAAAGCTCCCATTTTCAAGGCTTTTCGCCTTAACCGCACTCATCATGCACGATCCACACATGACAGAGTTGTCGTGTAACATCTGGGATCACCGTTTGCGCCACCAACTTGTCGATCAATTTGGCGGGTACAACGAGCGATGTTGCCTTCTCGACAGTCGACTCATCAATTTCCACGAAGAGCCCTGAAGAGAAAGCCTCTGAAAATTCACCGCTAACGTCAGATTCAAATACGATGATCTGAAAGTTACACCACAGAAGATGGGCGACCAGCATATTCTACGAGGACTGTGGATCATCTACTTCCGCACTAAGTTACCCATATGTCAGGCATTCAGGACCGATGGAACTTTCCGAAGGATCTACTACGATGTGCTGCGGCTCAGCGGTCGTCATTTCTCTGATTCGTTCGTACAGACTGTTCGTTTATACATGCCTCAGAATGTACGAGTCAGCCAATCACACCACAAAGCGGGGGCGCTAGAAGCAGCAAAGTTGGTGTGAGGCGCAGCCCCGTGAACAGCCCTACCCCATCTTTCGACATCCAGGTACGTCTTTCAAGATAGGCGAGCTGCTGTGTACAACATCTGTCTTGCGGTGCTGGCACGGGTTAAATGTCTATGACTATGATCGAGATCACTTCAACGTCATTCAGCTAGGCTGTCTAATGGGTAGCAACTCCCATGAGGCGACCCGTAGGAACAACACAATCTCCGCAGGGCGTAACGACTCGGCGAATGTTGCGCAGATCCATGCTGGAGTCGTCAGTCCAGATAAAAGAAGCATCAAAGCTATGAAGTAGGCGGTGCATGTACTAGTGCTACCGTCTTTTTGGGAGGCCTCATCATTCCGTATAAGAAAGGGCAGTACCAACCTTCCAAGATGCACCACTCCACCTCTATACTCACGAAGAGTTCTCCTTTACAACAAGACTATCATCTCTTCACTAATTCTATCATATACCGGCCATGTCAAAGATGCTACTTCCGGTAGCCGCAGTATTCTCCCTGCTAGCCCCCACCGCGCTCTCCCTATGCCCACCACCAGGTGCAATTCTCCCACCACCATCACTCGCCCCCCATGTCTCCAACTTCAGCATACCGGATGCTGTTTTCCAAAACTTCAGTTTCATACAAAACACTTCGTTCGCGATCCAGGCTTCTATCGGCAACGCGACGGTCTTCCAATATGAGCATACAGCCCCTGTCCGTGAAGTCAATCAGTCGCTCTTCGACACCAAGTTCCGCATAGCTAGCGCAACCAAGCTGATCACGGCACTTGCTCTGGAGTTGAGTAAAGACAAGATCAGCTTGGATGACCCGATTACAAAGTTCATTCCTGGTCTGAACGAAGAATACTACGGAGATGTAACGATCAAGTCCCTAACCGATCACACTTCCGGTCTCGGTCGCTTCGTACGTCCTCCACTACTCCAGTTCCCCACCCACACACTGAACTGACACACTACCCCAGGGCTACACAACAGATATAGCATTCGGCCAAAACGCAACCGCACTCGGCCTCCCACTACTCAACAACACCCTCCCAGGCTGCGACCCCATCCCCGGCGGCCGAACGTGCACGCCCCAAGAACTCCTCGACGAGTTCAACAACCCATTCTACGCCCCACATTCCCCCTCCTCCCGCGCAATGTACAGCAACATCGGGTACATCCTCCTCGGCAAAGCCCTCTCAGCAGCCCACAACACCACCTACGAAGACGTGATCCAAAAGCTCCTCCTCGACCCCGTCGGCATGACAAACTCCTCCTTCTCCGTTCCCTCAGACGACGGAACCGCCATCCTACCCCGCCGCCCTGAAGATGCCTCATGGTTCGTAGCCCCCTTCGGCAACCTGAACCCAACAGGCGGTTTGTGGTCCACACCCAACGACCTGCTCACCCTGCTTCACGCGCTCAAGAACGGGGAGCTGCTCAGCAAAGTAGCATTGAGGAAGTGGATGCAGCCCACCACCTTCCTCCGGTCTCTCCACCAATACGTCGGTGTAGCATGGGAAATCTTCCGTATCGACGACCTTCCGCTCGAGTTTCCGCGCGCGATCGATGTGTATACAAAATCGGGTGGTGTACCGGGGTATGGAAGCTATCTTGTGTTGATCCCGGAATACGATATCAGTATCACGATTAATGCGGCAGGGGGCGAGACGAGTTATTCGAGTGTGGAGCTGCTGGATACAGTTGTTACGGCTTTGGTCCCGTGGGCGGATAAACTAGCACGTCAGCAGGCGAAGGCGAAGTACGCAGGAATGTATGTGCTTGAGACGGCGTCTTCGAACGACACGCTCGTTTTGTCTTCGACGGCGGGTCCGGGTTTGGCTATCGAGGCGCTGAGCGTCAATGGCGTTGATGTTATCGCTGCGTTGGCTATGAAGCAGAACGTCCCGCTGGACAACTTTAGCGCGAGGCTGTACCCCACTGATCCAGATTCTCTGGGTTCGCAGAACGAGAATTGGAGGATGCTGCCTGATCAAATCAGCCCGGCGAAGAAGCTGTGGGCGGGGCTGGAGTGCATGAGTTGGAATAATGGGGATTGGGCGAGGTATGTGGGGGATCCGCTTGATACGTTTGTGTTTCATGTGGATGGCGAGAGTGGGAAGGTTGGGAGTGTGGAGTTGCTTGGTTGGAGGGTGAATTTGGTGAAGGTGGATTGAGGTGCTTGGCTACAGAGTTTTGGATTGTAGCCCGTGAACTGAGGTTTCGATATGATTCGAGATGTCTGTACACATTCATGTTCATTCGAAATGAATTGAAATGTGTTTCTTCGATACCTAATATATGCAACTGTAGAAACACTAGCTACCAGTCTTCTCCCGCGTCCCGACCACGACTAAACACCAACAACGAAAGTACTACCGCAAGATGCTAGTAGCAAAGGGGGTATCGAATATACAAAGCACGAACGAAAGCCCAGCCACCTCCGCTCACTCAACAAGCCCAGTTCCATCCTCGCCCAACAACACCGAGGTACTTCAAACAACAGTAAAAGTCCTCTGCGGATAATTATCCAACTGCGTCATATCCTGAATCTCAGGGAACCAGTGTTCAAACAGCGCCTCCGCATCCTCACTCATCTCCTGTTCCGTCCCCTCAGGCGTACACTCATAGCATTCCAGTCTGCCGACACGATGATACGTGTTATTCCCCGCTGAAGACGAAGACTTGAGCACAATACCTACTATGGAAGAACGGAATGTCATGCTGACGAGGACGCAAACGAGGGTTTCGCCGTCTTGCAGCGCGTCTTCGCCGCGGGGAGGGACGACGTCGGGAGTGAAGTCTACGGTCATGCCGTTTTTAGCTAGGGTATATGAAGGAGGGGCGTCTGGCGACGCAGACGAAGAAGGCGGAGACGAATGAAACACGACTTCTGCGGCCATGGCACCTGAGAGTTCGAGGGGCTCGCCCATGATGGGTGACCAGGCACTCGCACGCTTGCCTTTTGGACCGAAGGAAGCGCGGCAAGCGAGATCCATGGCGCTTGTGTTGTCGAAGAAGATGGGGGAGCCTTCGACGGAGGCCCACGACCAACTTGGCACGTTTTGTCCTTGGGCTAGTTTGGGGCGCCGGCAGCGTGAGCTGTCGTTGGGATACCAGAGGAGGCCGAGGGTGCTGAAGGTCCATTGGCCGGCTATGTAGCCTGATTGGAGGGTTGGAGAGAGGGCTTTGGCGATGCTTGCTATTGCTATTAGGCGGTCGCTGTCGTAGGTGAGGTGGCGTGCGGTGTATTCGGTTATGATGTAGGACCAGAGTTGGAGTGTCTCTTCGCGTCTGCGTAACAGCTCTTGTTGGGCGCCGTTCGTGAGGTTCGTAGAGGCCAGTTGGTTTGTCATGCTGTCCATCCGAGTGTGGCCCATATTTCCGTTGGTGTTGGCTTGTTGTGGTCTGTTTGCTGTTTCGTAGAGGACTCTGCCAAACTCTTGCTTGACCTGGTCGCATGGCCGCGTGTCATATGTATTGTCGTCGATACGCCCGCATTCGCATTGGTAGCCTTCTCGGCATTCTAGAATCATCTCGCTCTTGGTGAAGTGCAGCACTCTCGGCGAAAGTAGGCGTTCGGCGTACGGCCATGCGCGAATCAAGAGGGGCGTGTGTAGATTTGCTTCTTCGGTCATGTTGAAGGGTAGCTCCCACTCGTTCATGTGAGCATTTCCGTCAAAAGGCGCCTTGAAACTGTAATGAGTCGGCTGCTCCCGCACGTTGATCTTATGTAGCGAGCCTTTGTTGTCCGTTGCTTGGATCTTGAATGGCTGTGTTTTGGGAGGAAAGAGGGGTTGTGTACTGCTGTCGGATGCGGAGGTCGCCGCAATTGTCAAGAAGGCGTTGCCGAAGATCTCATCCATCTTGAGCGAGTCTTCAAGCTTCTCCTGGACGTCATCTTGTATCAGGCACAGACTATCGATAAACAGCCAGCGGAAGCCAAGCGCTCGGGTGAGGAAGACGGCCTCTTGGTATGCTCTTGGCAATGTTGACCATGGAATGCTCTTCTTGTGTGATTGCAGATTTGCCAAAGTCGTCTTCGGGATCCCTTTGGCCAGTCCCCAGACGTGGCTCAGGGCGATGTATTCGCCATGTTCGTATCTCCGCTCGTCTTGGATGTATTCACTTTCGTGCAAGCGCATGCTCTTGGAGTCGTCGCGCGACAGTAAATCTAGAACGCGCTTCGGTAGTGTGGTCGGTTTGCCTCGGCGACTGCATGTAACATGGTTCTCTAGGCAATTCTTAATCAAGCCTCGCGCTGTTGCTAAGCCAGTACTCTGTAGTGGATTTTCTGTCACATGTTTTCCGCGCCCAATGGCGGAGAAAGGAGACTGGCCGTCTGCGGTGTTGTCAGTCCACGCGTTCCTGCAGAGCGAATGAGCTAGCAGTAGCCCTGGAGGTGACCGTTCCACGACCGCGACCATCATTACATCAACTGAAGCACGTCGGAAGGAAATTTGGCATACCTCCATCGGTGAAGAACTCGAGTTTCAGATCTGCATGGCCTGCCGCATGTTCATGTTCATCCTCGTGGCAATCGTCATGGTCGTCGTTGTCTTTCCATCGGAGCTCGACGGCAAGATGTTCTTGGGGAACTTTTCCATTCTTTGGCCTGAATGTTTCTGCCTTCACTCTCACATTGTCTTCGTTGATGTTTGGGAACCGGTCGTGGTGTAGAAGGATGCCATTGAGGAGGAGCGCGCACGCGCGGCAGGAACTTGATCTCGACCTCAGATTTGGCAGCGTCGTGTCGACCCAAACGAGCGAATCCGGCCCATTCTCTTGCACGCTGTCCGATCCATGGAGGTGCTTCTGGAGACCTTTACATGTCGCGCAAACAGATACCATGGCGTCGTGGAGTGGTTGAAAATGGGTGATGGATATGACGACGGTGCGGGGTGCTGAGGTTCGTTCCCGTTGTTCCGCGGGGCGGCAGGACAGTGTTAGGGAGATGGCACACTGACCAGGTATACGTCAATTGAAACCCCTTAAGCAGTCGCTACTAGTGAAAATGCTGGACCACGAAGCCAGTAGCAGCAGCTGACATTTGCATGCGGCTTCCAGACCATTCGACGGCCTAAGGTGGAAGGTCAGCTCTGAACCAAACCAAAAAGTGGAGGCGCCACTACTAATCCTACGGGCAGTGAACCTCTCCCGCTCTTGTGGGGACGCCCAGCTTCTAAAGCACAAGGATCTCTCGTCGCACTACGATTATCATTTGCAGAAAGATAAGTATTCGGCGACCTATCGCTGCCTTGTCTCGCCCCTCGTTCGAAGACCTGCAGCACAGATCATCGGGCACTGCGCATGGCGATATCATCCAAGCTGGTGCATGCTGACATCTATCCTGCGCCCGCCGAACCTTGGTAACGAATGGATCGCGACGAATGCCTAGGTGCCGCTCATTCGGTGCTTCTCCCGTGAACACGACCCTCGCGCCCGCAGATCCGGGTCAACGTGCTTCAGCCCGTTTGTTCAATCATTCGTCAACGCAATGCTTTTTTTCGAGCTGCTAGCCTACCAAGAGAATTGATGATGAAACACGAGCTGAGCCATTGTTCGGCCAAGTGCTGCATTCAACAGAAGTGACATCTAGATCCTCACCTGACAGCAGCCATGAGAATGTCTTCATATCCAAGCCATCCGGCATCAGCAGAGCCGTATTGCCACACCGACGTTGTTCAGCCTGCTTTCAGACACCAGCGCAGGGTGATGGTAGCCATGGAAAACGCCCTGCTTTCCGCCTCGAAAGCCGTCTCAAACAGCCAATCGTTCCTACGGAACTTTTCTGACTTGCATCCTACTTCCAAATCCGGCGCGTCATTCTTCCATGTACAATCTATCCACCGGTCGACCATCAGCATGTCAGATTCGTCAATCGCCTTTCGGCTGCGTCGACCACCGATCGGTCACGAAAGGATGGCGACCTTGCAGCTGCTCAAAAGACTGGAGGCAGAGTCGCATTCGCGCAAGGCTTCATGCATCAACGATGTAAAGTCCAATGAAGAGGTCGACCTGCAATCTTCCGCTGCGTGTCATCACTTGAGCTTCGAAAGGGTGGTCAGGCTAGGGCCCGCCAAATCGAGTCCATCTACATCCATGAGCCACTTCAACCGCCTTGTATGCAAGCCTTCACGACTCTGCTTCGCCATTCGGTCTGCGGTCTGATAGCCCGGGCCAACGATATGAAATGGGCGTCAACCGCTGCCTTAAGAGCTCCCTGTGTTCAAATGGTTGCTAGAGGCTGTACGCCCAAGCATGCTAAAGGCGAAGCCAACATCACGAGAAGATGCTGCCTAAAGTCGTGGAGGCTTGAATGATGAAGTTGCGCACCGTTCGCGCAGTGCGATCTTGTAGTGGCCTATAGCGTGCCGACTACATACTCCATTACGCGTATCATCGTCACGTAGGCTCATAAAGTTCTGTTCCAGGACATACGGCGTTCATCGATCGGTGGAACTCGATATTCATAATCTTGTTCACTAAACGTGACTTTCGTAAGTCCCGTCTTACTCAACATTACTACGAGACTACGCGTCGTGTCTGGGTGAAGGGCACAGCGCACGTGCCTTTACCATCAAATTCGAGACTAGCGTTGCGGGACTGCATGTGGTAGCGACGACCCGGCCCCACATCGGGCTGCCACAAGCATCCCAGACGTGCCAGAGTCACGATGTAGGCAATTCGCCTGGCTACACCAACATGACTTCGGTTATCAGCGCATTGCGCAAGCAAATTGCAACATGCGAAGCCACACTCAAAGATCTGCGCCAACAGCTGGCGGAAGCGGAGCACAATCAACGCGAGCAGGGCAAGATTGTGCCGCAAAAAAGGCGACTAGCAACTGATCCTGTAAACCCCATGGATCATGACATGAATTTTGGAGTCCCTGATCAGTTCCGAGACGAGATATTTTCTATACTCCAGCAAGAGCAAACGGCGCCGGAAGCCGCGGGCACTGTAGCTGAAGAAGCGCCAAAATGGCCATTGGAGAAGAACGAGTACAAGAGATATGGAAGGCAGCTGATTATGCCTGAGATTGGTCTGAAAGGTGAGTTTGGTATTTAATAAGAGTATTTGGAATGGTGCTGAGCTCGGATTCCTTAGGTCAGCTTCGCTTGAGAGATGCCCGTGTACTCATCGTAGGTGTGGGCGGTCTCGGTTGCCCAGCTGCTGCATACCTCGTCGGAGCAGGAGTTGGTACCGTTGGACTAGTCGATGGCGACGTGGTAGAAGAGTCGAATCTACACCGACAAATCTTACATTCCACAGCCAGAGTTGGAATGACCAAAGTCGAGAGCGCGATGGTGTCTTTGAAGTCGTGCGTCTACCCATCAGTCTGTGCTACGGGAAACCCCAGCTAACCTACTAGACTAGGCTCAACCCTAATGTTACACTTGTCCCTCACACATCCCGACTCAGCCCAGAGACTGCGATTTCGACATTCAAACAGTACGACTTGGTTCTAGATTGCACAGACACTCCCGCGTCGCGCTACCTAATATCCGATACATGTGTCCTGCTAGGCAAGACGCTCGTCTCGGCATCAGCCCTCCGCATAGACGGCCAAATGATGGTCCTGAACAACCCACCCTTACCAGCCGGCGATCCCAACGGAGGCCCCTGTTACCGCTGCGTCTTCCCCAAACCACCACCCCCCGAATCCGTCGTCTCATGTGGCGACGGCGGCATCCTAGGACCGGTCGTTGGCGTAATGGGCGTCTTGCAAGCACTCGAAGCCATCAAAGTCCTCACCCACAAACCCACCACCACACCCGCGGATCCGCCGAGTCTTCTTCTCTTCTCGGCTTACTCGAATCCCATGTTCCGGTCTATACGGCTCAGGAGTCGGAAAGCGAAGTGCGCTGCTTGTTCGACGCACGCAACGATTAGTGCAGAGGCGCTGGAGTCGGGGAGTTTGGACTACGTTCAGTTCTGCGGCAGTTTACTTCCAGATAACAATCCACTGGCCCCTGAAGAACGTATATCAGCGAAGAACTACGCTCAATTACGGTCCGGTGTCAATCCTTTCACGGGCACAGTATCGAGGAAAGAAAGCCACTTGCTAGTTGACGTCCGTGAGAAGGTACAGTTTGAGTTGTGTAACATCGACGGTAGCATCAACGTGCCGTTCTCTACGGTCTCAGCTACCCGCGGACCTGCCTCTGCCGTCGAAGAAGAGGACTGGACCAAGATGCTGCGGCAATCCGAGAAACCCATCTTCGTTGTGTGTAGATTGGGTAATGACTCACAGGTTACGGTTAAGAAGATGAAAGAGCTTGGACTCGATGCGGGTGGGAAGAGGTACATTGGTGATATCAAAGGGGGTCTGCAGGCGTGGAGAAGTACTGTCGATACTGAGTTTCCGGATTACTGAGGTTGTGCTTCCAAACACGTAATGTAGGTAAGGCATGGTAGCTTACCCACCAATTTCAACAACAAACCTCTTACCACCCCCGTATCCCTCTACCATCCTCCCCAAAACCCCATCAACGCTCTCTAAGCCCTTCACCATCTCAATCTCCTGCGCACTCATCCACCCCTTCTCCATGCCAGACGGTAAATACGTCCCCACAACCCACTCCATCAGTCCTTCATTCCCCTCCTCGTACAACGAGTCTGACCACGGTTCAAACACTCTCTCTACACCCTCTGATAAGCTCTCAGGACTGAACGCAGGTTGTGTGGCGAAGAGTCTGCCTCCGCCTTGGGAGGCTAGAATGCGGCTTGCGAGAGGGATGGTTTGGGGAGTGGATATCATGTCCACGACGACATCGTATGGTCCACGCACTCTGAGTTCTGCGATAATTTGGTCGGACGGAAGTGTATGGTCGACGACGTGACTTCTACTCCCGCTGAGCGTACGCACGGTGGCCATGTGCTGTGGTGAAGACGTTGTGATAACATCGTATCCGGAACACTGAAGGTACTGCACTGCTAAACGACCAAAACTGGAACTTCCGCCGTATATGAAGATCTTTTCTCTTTCTTCGCCTTCCTGGACCGAGTCACCTGGCTTGCGCAGTCCCAGCCGCCCGGAGAAGAGACCGGCTACACAACTTGCGTTCATTATCAACGCTACCAACGCTGCTTCGTCATCTTTGTTTATGCGTTGCGGTAGTCTGACTACCATCTTCTCCTCCGCAGTAACGAGGACGTAGCGTTGATACGCGCCATGTGCGTTTTCCTGTGTACCAAATCTCTTGCTAACGAGAACGCGTTTTCCTACTTGGTATTCCGTGACTGAGGGACCGACGGCAGCGATCGTACCCGTGTAAGAAGAGCCTGGGATGAAGGGGTAGGAAGGCGGTGGTGGGGCGCCGCGTTTGGCTATCTTGGCTTCAATGGCGTTGATGCCGATGAGGGAGACTTTGATTAGGAGTTCGTAGGCGGAAGGCTTGGGGATGGGAAGGGCCTGTGTTGTGAGAGGGGAGTTTGGGGATGTGAGGATTGCGGCTTCGTTCATTATGGGTGACTGTTAAGAGAATGCAGTATGATTTGTGCCAGAGGACGGATTTGATGGTTTATTGTACATTTGCATCGCTGTTTACTACTACATGTTGTGTAGAGCTCAAGGGAGGTGGCTGCTGTGCAGAGGAGTCGATGATTAATCGATCATGATGCTACGGAAAAATTCCGCTACGCATTACACAGCGCGATGCTGGGTGCCGTGTTTTTCGCCACAATATTGCCCATGTTGCATCGATTGACAGGGTTAATTATTATCATGCTGACATCGGCTCGCACCGTCGGTGCTATTAGGCTTTGAAATGCGGGACAGTAGGGCGCCTAATCTGGACGATGCAGACACGGATGGGAAACTCGTTCAAGGTCAGAATGCCTGGCCTACTTCCTACCAACGTGTCCATGGTCCTGCGGGTATCTCTTCACTGTTTTTCGCCTGCCAATTCGCTCCACTCAGCCATTGGTGAGGTCTCTATTCTTGTGTCCCAGACGCCTGGCCTTCACTGCCGTGCGAACTCAGGCTTCGTCTGCATATTACTCTGCACATGGCTCTTGAGCGCCGCCCAGCGATCTTGTACTGCATCAGCGCCTTGTGCCCCTTTCCCACTCCCGCCCACAAGCTGCGCCAGATTCGCATTAAACCTCTCCATCTCCAACTTCTCCAGCTTCTCCTTCCGCTTCTTCGCACCCTTTGTTTTCTTCATGCTATCGGGCATTTTCTGAGGTTGCACTATCCGCGCTTGACTTGTTTCGAGCCCATCTTCTCCAGACTCTGGCAGTGCGTCGGCGAGCGACTCAAGGTTTGCGATGAGCTTGTTATTGGGGCGTCGCCGTTTTTGGGTCTTGGCAGAGGACTTTTCGATTTTGGATACGAAGGAAGAGTGTTTGACCTTCAGCTTGTCGCGCTTGGAGGATGGGTACGAGGGGATGCCGTCGGGCTTTGGGAGAGTTGCAGTGGTGGTGGTGGGACGGGCGGCGCGAGCGGACTTTGCGCGCGCTGTTGTGCGCTTCTTTATGGGTGCCTGTTCGCTTAAGTAAGTATTTACTGTATTGTATAGAAGTCAGCAGAGAAACATACCATGGCTGTGTTGTGTGTAGGCAAAGTTGGATAGTTCCTGTCGCATAGGGCTCGATCGCTGTTGCGCAAAAGTTCTTATCGATAACGACAAGTGCCGACGTCAACCACCCGGCCCGTGCGACCTTCACAGACACTAGACGTACAACTCGGCTTCCGTCTCACGACCCTCCATCCGGATGTAACTTCGCGGCTACACGAGATTCACGACTTCATACGCAGCTGCAACTGTATGACCTTCTCCGACGTGGTTCAACGGGCACATCGCCTCAGTGAGCTACCACGGCTCCTCTGCCTCCTCATCGTGCCCCTTTGCTCATCCTTGTCGCATCTACTGGACTAAGTCATGTGTTTCACTCTTCACAGACTTCCTGTCATCATGTACACGCTCGTGGTGCTTGAGGAAACGCGTTCATTCCCGCCAGGATGAAGTCCGAAAGAGCTGCCTCACTCGACGCCACCAACGGCGAGTCGGACTCCGCACCAAACAGCAAACAGCACTTCTTCTCGCAGCCGAGTCATCTGGTCATGCTTCAACCTGGGGCAGGACTGCTTTACTGAACACTCCGATAAGACTGCAGCACATCGGACTTGGCTAGGTGCGGCCCGTTCCCGACTACCGACTATTGGCTGTCTGTCGCATGACGATCCTCGTTGTGATCACCTATGATGCACTACGATGGCATAATTTCCTCTCGTTTTGTTTCTTGCAGGGTTCGCACCAGTAGAACATGTCATAGAAGCGATTGCCACAGGCATGTCAAGGTATACAATAGAGTATTGCTTTTTCACAATCCCAAACCTGTCCTGAAACGCTATCATCTAACCTCAGCTGCCACCATCTGCGGGTTGGCAGCGCTCCGGTATGTACAACATCCCCGTATCACTGTGGCGCCATCCTTCATCCCAACACTACGGACCTGGGCTCAGCTCCACGACGGCCGTCTAGCCTAGATGCAGGCACGCGTGCGACCGATCAGCATCGAATCCCGCCCACTGCCGTCATGTTGTTCTACGATTCGCTGCGGATCGCGACTCATATCCCTTCCGCTTCTATTTGTGGTTCTCTAGACGAAACTATACGAACCCCTCGTCGTCTCTGCCGCGACAAAAGGCAATCATTCGCATGAAATGCAAGACGCGTAGTCCTGGTGACTCGGACTTTAAGGGAGCATTACGAACAGCGTATGCAGCTTGTCCGAAGTTCGAGAACATCTGGCCCTATTCATCTCCTTGTAGCCGCCAACATGCTATTTCGATAAAGATTCATCAAGGCTCATTTCAATGCAATCTCCGAACCGCGCAAGACACGATGTGCGAACAAGCCCAGCATGAGAATGCGCTCATTTCAGCTCAGAATCATGGTACTATTCTGGTAATGGTAGCTTGGTTTCTTGCTTGCCTATTGGTATGAATTCCATCTGGGTATCCTTTTCAATACTGATCATTGTCTTAGGCTATATGCACTGTAGCAAGAGTCGTTGCTCGATACAGATCTGAACACCTTCGCCATCTCTCGTCGACAGATGACGTCATTATCGTTACTGCATCGGTCTTTGCCCTTGGAAGCACCGTGATAATATCCACGGCTGTTGAATCGGGCCTGGGGAAGAGGGACTGTCTCCTCAGCGATGATGACTTGGAGCAAATCCAACTCAAGCTTTATGTTACCACGATACTCTTCGTTTTGACAATAAGCATCGCCAAAAGCTCGGTCCTACTGTTCCTCTATCATCTAGCAGATAGCACACTACGCAGGGCAAGCGTTCTACTAGTTAGTACACTGGTATTGATATGGACCATTGCAGTCTTGGCAGGCATGGTCTTTCAGTGTGAGCTACCGACGCCGTGGCTGGTGTGGACGGGGAAGTGTATCCCCTTGGTAAGTCCGGTTGTCATATCGTAACTGAACTCGTTCTAAGTATAGTACAGATACCTTTCTGGATGATCGCCACCATCACGGACACTGTTCTAGAAACAGCAGTGATCACTCTCTCGGTACATCACATATGGACACTGCGGGAATCCTACCGCCAAAAGGCCTTGGCGACACTACTGTTGTCCATGCGCTTCATGTAAGCAAAGGACCTGACACTCAGCTGAGACCTTGCTGACGTCCCGTGTAGCTTAGTTGCAGCATCTATCATCCGTCTGGTTTATCTTCGACAAGCATACGATCGCGATGGAGACCCAGCTTTCGACTCTTTACCGTACGCCGTGGTCACACAAGGCCAGACGACACTAGCCGTCCTCATCGTTTGCAGTCTCTGCCTCAAGCCGTACTCTCACTTCCAAGCATCCCAATCGCCGGCCCCCAAACCCAAATCAAGACACTCGAAAAATTGGTCTGGTAGCATCACCATTGGTGGCACGCCCTACGAATCATACAAGTCGTTTCCACAACCGATCATACGAGAACCCTTGCTGGCTATACAAGCGAGCATGTCAACACCAAATTCGCCGGCAGGTTCCAGGCACTCGCTGAATGAAGATATACTACTGCCAGATACACCGATACCCGCGCGGTCTGCTAGGAGACCTCCTCGGCCACCTCCACCAAGTGAGGAGCAAAGACCGGATCTAAGTATGTTCACTCGAAGTCCTACTACACAGCAGGCACCAGTGGTGACGAAACTTACGGTTTGTCAAGAGAGAGAGAAGGGAATGGACCTGAATTCAAGGGGCTTATTGATCCGATAGAGCACATGTATCTCTGTTCGTCCAAAACAGTTATAATGTATTCTGCTGGGCGGTTGCGACAAGTAGCTACGATGAATAATGCATTAGCCGATGTACCTTCATGCATCCGTTCCATGAATCTACATTTTACACCACCACCCCTCCATCAAGCCCACCACCCAATCAGCGCCATAATCGCCGCCCCAAAAAACACATACCCAACCATCGACCCCAGCCTGCCCAAATCCTTCGTCCTCTCTCTATCAAACAAAAAGTCCTTAGCCAACAACTCCACCAACCCACTGTATATCAGAAACCCCGCACTAACCGCATTCAACACGCCCTGCACCATCAAACTGACCTTGCTCTCCGGCAGATACGTCGTCCTAACCCCCAGCCCCACGGCAATAGCCAGCGGCGTCGTGAGCCCATATAAAGCGCAAAGCGCCCACGGCATCCAGGTCTTGCCGCGCGGAAATGAGATACTAGATAAGCGGGCCCCGATGCCCAACCCTTCGAAGGACTGATGGAACACTAGAACCGGGTAGAGAGTTTTGAACTCGTCGCCGACGACGCCGAGGTTCAGGCCGATGATGACGGAGTGGAATATGATTCCGAATTCGAGGACGAGGAACGCGCCGATTTGTTGGGCGAAGGAGAGGCGGGCTGCTGTTGAGGTGGTGCAGAGCGAGGCTTCGGAGTGGTAGCTGCGAAGGCTTGCTGTGTGTTTCCGGTGGTGGTCTTGATCCCCGTTTTGGCGGTCTTGAATTGGGTTATTACCGGATTCTGGGTCCACCATGGCTACTGGTGCGACTCCGATGGTGGTGGTCCCGTTGTCAGAGCGAAGAAACGCGTTGTTGGAAACCTCGCTCTCTTCTTTCTTCACTCCAAAATGCCGTTCGACATATACTTCTGCTCCTAGATCTACGCAGAAAACTGCCATGATGGACGTCAGCACTATGGCTGCACACCATGGATACTCCGCCCATGCTCCGCTTTCTCCCACACAACTCCCCGGGCCTATTGCTTCGTACGCCGGATCTAGCAGGTGGATAAACGCTGTTGCGACTATGACACCCGAACCGAAGAAGCGCGCAAAGGTGTAGAGCCCGAGCGGAATCTTCCAAGATGGTTTCTTGCGCGCTATGACAGGGAAGTAGGTTACGAGTGTGGAGACGAAGCCGATGACGAAGATGGACGAGATACGCGCGCCGAGCATGCCGTTGTATTCGTTTTCGCCCACGGCGAAGTAGCAGATTACTTCGGCTTTATCGACTGTCGTGAGGTCGACGTGCGAGGGGTCGAATGCTTGTGTCGCCATGATGGGCGGGGAGAGAGAGGGGAGGTGGGTTGGAAGGAATGAGAGGTATTATGGACTTCAGAGACTCGGACAACGTTGTGTCTAGCTGTTCTAATTCGGAACTGCAATTGATGTCCTCAAGTTCTCAGTGTAGTTGCGGCTCTGACGTCGGGCATTTTATCGTCTGCATGCCAAGTACCTTGTTGGACGATTGACAGCAGGCATTTCAAGCCACTGAGAAAGTGCAGTGTATTGTACTGCCCATGTAGGTACCGAACTACTCGGTACCCTCGGCATCTATCCCGCTCCGGAAGTCGTAAACGTGGAAGCTTTCTTTGACGTTGCTTCGCTGTTTCTGGTGTCTCATTACATATGAGGTTGTGAATTTTTGCGCCTCTAGCTACCCTGCGTGTGTACAAATAGGGAAATTTTGTACGCTGATATGCTTATTGAGGTTTTTTCGTCATTGCTGGTAGTCCGGAGTAGACGTCTGACTGCGTTGTTGTATGCGCTCGATAATGGGTGATGAGCGTGGTCGGTGCGTCGGCAGACATGCAGGTGTTCGCTTTTTTACCCCTACCTACCGTTTCGTTGCATATACATACTACTACCAACATACACATCGGAAGTCTGTAGAGCTTGGAAAATTCCCTTATACTCACGAGAATGAGTTGTACGGGAAACTGTTGAAGCGACTGCTTTCCTGATAATGTAGTAGACAGGTGGTATTTAGATCATTTCCACAATCCAAACCTATCCTGACAATACAGCACCGAAATACGATACACTCCCTCATGCCTTGACCCCATACCCGCTTTCAGGTCTCCTCAGAGTACAAAGCCTTCATGTTCTGCAGATCAGAAATAATCCTATCGATCTGGCCAACATCCTCCAATTCAACCACCTGCTGATAGATGCCCGCAACGCTGATATTCCAGTCCGTCGTCTCATCGTAGAACGAATCATACGAAGCCATCGAGGACGGTCGCAGGGACAACTCATCTGAAACCCCTCCAGGCGGCGGACCAGGCGAGGAGAAGACAGACGAGTGCGAGGGCGACGGCAAGAAGCCTACGGGTGAACTTGGGGAGCGGAACGCGAGTGGCATAGGGCGATCGGGCGCTGACGTTGTTAGTCAATATGAAGTTTACGGGGGTTTGACGGGGATGTAGCGTACTGTTAGGTGGGTAATCGCCTCGTCCCCCAGGTGAACCAAGGGATGTCGACCTCAACGCTTGTGATTCTATCACTTTTTCTCGCTGAAGGTGAAGTGAAGGCGGCAACTTGTCGATCCGCGGACTGACGGGCGACGAGAAAGAACGTGTAGGCGTCGTAATGCCCCCATGCGAGGGGGAGTCGGCGGCAGCTTGTCGCTTGAGGATCGTGGTACGGGATTCACTAGACGTAAGAAGCAGATGTTAGTTTGTGTAATGTGTGAATGCAGCTATGACATGTGTATCTAGAATATGGGTGGTATTCTGGATGGTTATGAAACGCTGCTAGTAGTAGTAGTAGTAGTAGTAGTAGTAGTAGACATGGGCGAGAAGGTAGGTGGTAGTGAGACGAGGGAGGGAGAGACATGGCAGAGGCATCTAGAACATTGCGTGACACCAAGCAGTGCCCGGACAGCGCAAGTTCCCAATGCGTGCGCATCTATGGAGGAGGATTTGTGAAGTGGGCTTAGCGTACGAGGGGCGGATGTCGTGGACGTCGCGGCAGAGTTCTTCGAGGCAGAAGTTGTTGAGGCGGGAGAGGTTGTAGCCCTATTCAGTAATCACATTAGCTCCTCATATTCAGATGCATGATAGGTGTTTGGGTCTCACGCGATCAAGACCCAACTCTCTCAGATATTTCTTAGCCTCTTGAAAGTGCTCGTCGCTCTCTTTGATCCAGTAGCCGAAGAGAGAGAGGTGGACGTCTGCGATTGTCATGTTGCGGACTTCGTTGGCGTACTTCTTCACTTCTTCTGCACTGAGGTTGACGTGCAGGGACTCGTTGCGGCGGTGACGGCTGCTCGGTGTAGGACTCGCAAGGTCGTGGGCGACGTGTGTGCCTTCGCATTCTCCACATTCGTCTCTGAAGCGCCGATTATCGACGCTATCGTCGTAGTCATATTGCGAGTAGTCACCTGGGTCGGCGGTGAAGACGGTAGGGTGGTCGTGTCCGAGGCCTTGGAGCTGGACAAACTTTCGGTCTATGGACTTGTTAGTTTGGGGTTGGAGTGGAAGGCGAGGGTACGTACGACGCTCGCGGATTTTCTCTCTCTCGGCAACAGTCATGAGATTACTAGGAGAAGGAATGTCCGAGCTGACGAGTGTGGTCTGCTGACTTGCGCGCTCGGTCTCAACGCTTGTGTCTCTGCCCTCGGACTCGGAGCTCATGACCTGCGTCAATGGGCTAGTACTAGCGATACTGCTGCGGTTGCGCGCGAAGAGACTGCCAAAGTTCTTGATACTACTCTTGCGATGAGCCTGGCGCTGTCCTTGGTCGTCGCACCCATTATCGCTAGTGTTCTCCTGCACTTTGGGAGGTTTCGGAACGAAGCTGTCTTTGCGATGCAAATTCTTCTGTGACTTGGCGAGTTGAGGGTAGAGTGACGGTACTGATTTTGGTGAGAAGTTGGTCGCTGCCAGCGTCGCTTGCATCTGCGCGTGCGGGAAATCCATGTTTTGAGTTCGGCGCAGCGGATACGTGTGCGTTCAAGGGGAAGGGAATGGAGATGACGCTGAGAAAGAGATGCGGATATAGACGTGTTGGTACGTAGACGACGTGACGGCGTTTGTCAAACTGCGATAGTGACCAAAAGGTAGCTTGCGCACTGACGTCAAAAGTGAAGGTGAATGTGAGCGTGAAGAGGAGTCGATATTGCTGGGTGACGTCCCAATTGAGCGATTGCGCGGCCATTAGCGGACAGTGGAGGGAGTTTGAAAGAGGGGGAGAAGATATTCGGGTCTACCACGCGTTCAACTTCCCGAAGGCTCAAGGAGTACAAGATTTACTTGAGATGAACGTGAGTGGATGCAAGATGAATATTCCACGATAAGGTGGAAGTGTTGGTCCTGTCCTCTTCTGGGTTTGTAGCACCACCTCAGTGATCGAGACGCCGGTGGAGTGTAGGCTTCTAAGGATGCCTTCAACTCTTCTTCCGTGATTTCGTATCCATCTCTTCCAACGAGACCAGCTGCGATATTGTATATCTTGTAAAGTCTGTTTGAACCGTCTGACCGGAGCGTGCTGCAGCATTTTCGTCATGTAGAATGCTGTTCGAGAGGCTTCTTGCCGGCCTGTACATTCAATGTCAGCTGAGCATCTTTCGACAAACTCTGCAATCTCCTGGAGGGACTTACTGCTTCGAGCGGGATGCTTTCATCTCCGTACATAACGGAAAGCGTGGAATCTGGCGACTTGCTGAATGGACACCAAGTACAGACGTAAAGCATGCTCAGTGGGCGTGTAAGGACCTGCGATTTCGGAGGCGGACTCGCTGTCAGTGATCCGAACTCGCAATGAGCTCATACAATACCAAACACCAGTAATTCCAAGATACCTAGTGTTGGATCTCAGGACGTGACACCACCATCGTGTGAAAGGCAACCGACTGTGTTGTAGCCCAGTTGTATGACTTGTCACGGAGCGTGAGATTGGTTTTCACATCGGCTTCAGGGAATGATGATTGTCAATGGATTGGTGCTGGCATGGGGGGGGGGTGGCACCCATGAGACAACAAGACTAGGGTAAATTCGACTGAAAAGTCACTCAACTTGTGAAGAAGTATAGTTGACACAACGATGGAAGGAGGCGGCGTGCGAAACGGAACCTCGCTCATGAGACTCTTAGACTTCCTCTTGCTCATCTTACCTCTGTCCACGCAGTCTCAGCCCAGAAAACGAAGAACAAGCGCATCTCATCTGATGCAAGCTCCGAGTCTCCATGTGATTCTCACTAGTGAGAGAATCAACGGCGATAGACGGTCCAATTCACGGCAGTATGTAGGGTGATCAGGTGCAAATCCAACACTGTGGACGTCCCACACCGGATGTTGGCTGCATCCAAAGGGCAAGTCATGCGCAGACAAACAAGTAGTGTTGCATGGTCAGGTGAAGGTCAATGGAGACATATGTGCAAGCTGGAAGGGAGGGAGGGTCTGATGGCGGCTGTTGAGGGTGGTCCCGACGCAGAAAGTTCCTTGGCGACCCGCCCGCGGGCGTCTTCCAAGTTCCTGCTCCCCGCTCAAAGGGCCGATGCAACAACACGTAGGATCGACTTATCTCGGTCAATAGCCGTTGACAGTCAAGCTTCACCTGCATGCGGTTTCTTCTTGGACCTCGTCTCGGCGATCCTGACCCTGCGGACGGCCCGAGCTTCTGTCCCGCGGCTGCAATGACTGCGACACGCAACATTTCCTATCAACTACCCGAACGGCTCAAGAGCAATCTGCAACAATCTTATCGCTTACCATGACCCCTCACGGACGCGCATCGGGTTAATCTAAAAAGGCTCTTTGACGCACGACTGTGTCTACAACTGGTATGGCATTCGTACACTCCCACCAGTAGCCTGCATGGATCAACCTCGCACGGCGCTTATGGGTGTTACACAACACTGCACAACGGTTTCTGCCGCGAGCAAGATGGGCTATACCCACTTTTCAACATCCTCGATATTGCGGCGCAGTCGTCCTTCACCAGACGCGCCGGACACTGCCCTAAGAGCTAGGTCGTCATGAAGGACAGGTTTGGCGTGACCTTTGACCACTCAGGCCTTGGGGGCCAACTCTGATCAGCGAACTCATGATCCTAGCTCTAGGCTGAGCGCCTCGGGAACGAGAACTGGAGGAGCTTCAGGGCAGCGAACCATACACAAGAACGCCTTCTTCTTGTGGTCTGACATCAGGTCCGAGGAACTTACCTACACCTCGAAACGGGCAGCGGTCATGCTTAGGGGAAGGGGCTCGCAGGCTGAAAAGGTGCTTCGTCGCGCTGATTCGCTAGACCATGCAACAAAGTTGAGCGAATGGGGGCTGTGAGCCGCCTTGCGTCGAGACCGAACCACGACAGCAGATCCCAGCCGTTCAGGACAGCACCCGATGTTGGTCCACCCCCCGGGTCCCCGTTGTTGGCACTTCCTATCCTGCAGGCGCTGCTCTATATGAATTGCGGCGTGGTTGATGCAAGTTGTCCGCCGTCAGCCAATGAAGCGCTAACTTTAGCGCCCCCGCGAGTTGGGTCGCCAATCATTCCCTACTTAGCCGCATATCCAACGTCCTTCATCCTTTAGGAGCTTTCCGTGCCATGTCGCGACGGCGGGGTCAGGACAGGCGGCTCTCGAGTCTTGACACGCGTTAAGACCAACGGGCGTAGTCCCACATTGCCACCTCAGTAGCAGGAATGCGCAGATAGATCTGTCAGCTGTAAACGGTGTGGTACGCACCGTCGCGGCGCGGATGACGCGTGTGTGGTGCATTCATATAACAAAAGTGTAGCCTGCAGATCATAGGTTGTACCGCTTTCAGCCCTCTGTTATCGTTCTGTTTCGTTTGGGGGCGCAGCTTTGGTCTCCTCTGCCGTCTGATTTACCCAGTTGACCGGTCTCGTTGCTACGCCGCAATACTCTCCTTTCGGTACTTACGTGTCTACGGGTGCCGCCTTCTTTTACATCCTTCGCCGCCGCCTTTCCCGCGCTTCTTTTCGTATCGTGCGTCTCGTTCGCACTATCACACAACGCCTCCGCGATTTAAGATTACTACCTTCATTGAAAAGCTTGTCCCTAACTTGGCACTGTCACACCCATAGACATGGCTACACTGTCGGTGCCGTCGCCTAGCCTGGGCTCGGGTTCATTGGGTGCCAGCATCCACAGACCGCTCTCCACTCACGGCCTGCCAAAGCAGCCGCGTACAATGTCACCCGAACGACCACATCGTTTCTCCGCAAAGTCCACAAAGAGCTATCCTCCTCCAGCTCTTGTACACACTCCTATGACACCACATTCCCTGGGACCAATGTCTCCCCCACCTATGTCAGCAAAGTCTTTCGGCACCTTCATCGACTCGGAGCCGTCGACGCCAGCCTACTCACCAAGGATGGACCACCAGTGGGACGACTCATCGGTGGTCCTAGTCCGTCCCATGTCCTCGTCTTCTGAACCTTCCAGCCCTACTGAGCCAGTATGGCGCATGCTACAACCACTGCCTGTGAAGGCCCCACCAAAGCCCAAAGCCAGCACCGTCAGAGCTCAGTCCAAAGAACCGGTCTCCTCTGCCAAGGAGATTTCATCACAGACATCGCTTTCATCGCACCCTACTAAGCAGGCGAGCTACGTCAATCGCCCGCACGCGATCAAGCTAGCAAGCCTATCACAACAAGATTTCCCCCCGAAGAGCGAAGACATTCCACAGGGTGATGTTACATCACCTCAGCCGACAGCCAGCACACCCACGGCGGCCGCCTTCGGGAAACTGGCAAACAAGATGAAGTTGATGCTCCGGCGTAAGAACACGAACGCAAAGAAAAAGGAGAAGAAGAAGCGAGAGTACGAAGAGGTCGACCGTATAGAGGATGTACACTGGACAGAGATGTGACTTCCACCTCACACCAAATGTTTCGAACATCTCAAAGTCCGACGTCTTTTGCTACACATGGAGATGGGGAGGAGGCGGGACGCTGCGATTCCTGGTCGGTGTATCGTACGAAAGCATCCGGGAATTAATACAAGGCATCGGTGTCCGAAGGAAGATGGAACTGTATCAGAACTACACATCAAGACTGTTGCTTATACTCGTCCGGTCAGATTAATGAGCTGCTGGCCACCAACATCACTCTTGTCGGCGTATACGTGGCGTACTTGATGTTTCCCTTTGGTTTTGGGAGGCGTTTTGGATCCTTATGGCTTTCATGAGTTGCACAAGCAAGTAACGACGATACCCAATCCTTACCATAGCCTATTATTAGCAACTATCTTTTCATCACTAAACTCGTAAACACCACTGCCGATGACCTTGCAGCGATGAGTTCTAACTAGAATCTCATGTAATGATCGAGACCATCAAACAGCTTGTATCACACAAAGGCCTTGCAACTATAAGCCAGCGCGTTTCTTTCAGAACTCATCGTTTTCGTGCCAAGCACCTGCCCGATTGCTCCACGTGAAAGGGCGATCAAACTAGCGCGTGCACAGACCATCGAATCTAAGCTCCACAACGCGAAAGAAGCAGAACACATCTCACCCATCTTGCGATACAGGGAACACTGTAGGTAAAATGATTCCAAGAAGGTTGGGAAGCGCCGTACGGCTCAAATGCGCCGGTAAAGCACAGCCTCAAACGCGATTACAGAGGCCACTCGCGGTGACTACCCGTGCTTTACGGCCACACACAGGACGCGTTCTATCAAGTCCGTTATCACGTGCCTTCTCACAGACAAGGCTCCTACAAACCCATCCCGAGAGTTCAAGAACCAATGGAAGAGGCAATACCCTCTTCAACACGCGATGGAACCAACCAGCCAAGGACCCCACAACCACACTCCTACAATCACGCTTCCCAACCAAAACCGTCCTTGTACTCCTCACCCTAGGCGGCCTAGCATACTACTTCGTCGACATAGTAGAAACCGACTGGACAGACAGCGTCTACGGCGCCTTTGAAACCGGCGACGATGCCTCCCAACTCGCCCAACCCCTCCACTTCTACTCCTCAAAAGAAGAAGTGCAGCACATCCTCGACTTCCACATCCCAGACCCCAGCGCCCCGATGAAAGACCCCGCCGTAGCGAAGTTCTTCTCAGAGCAATTCGACAAGCTATGTTACGGGTGGATGATGACGCCCGATGATTCGAAGAAGGGTGTCGAAGGCATGCCGGACGTGCAAATGCCCATAACACACGGATGTCGGTTCCGCAGCAACGAGCCGTGTGAGGATTTCTTCGCCCTGGGGACGTCGCCTGGCCCCGGGCAAACCCTGTGGAATTACTGGACTGTGCTAGATGGCCATGCAGGACGACACACGGCATTCTACCTCCAATGGACACTAATCCCCATGGTATCCTCCGCACTCAGCACCCTCACTCCCCACGCAAGTAGTCATCAGATTGAGAGCAGTATAAAAACCGCCTTCCTCGCCACGGACAAAAGTATCATGTCCCGCGCCAAAACAGCCGCAGCCTGGTTCCCCGCCGCCAACGCCGCCGCCATCGCCGCGCTCACACCCGCTTTCTCCGGTTCCTGCGCGCTACTCGCTGCATTCGATCCCCAGTCCAACAAACTCCGCGTCGCATGCACAGGAGACTCGCGCGCCGTCCTAGGCCGCTGGGACCCCTCCACAAACACCTACACCGCCATCCCCCTCTCGGAAGACCAAACCGGCTTCAACGCCAAAGAAGTCGAAAGACTAAGCAAGCAACACCCCGACGAACCCTCCGTCATAGACCCCAAAACAGGCCGCATGCTAGGCATAGCCGTAACCCGCGGCTTCGGCGACCACCGCTGGAAATGGGATAACGAAACGGTCAAGGCGTGCCAGCACAAATTCTGGGGTACGGCGCCCAGACCGGGGAATCTGAGTCCCCCGTATATGACGGCGGAGCCCGAGATAACGGAAACGGCAGTTGTGAGGAGGGAACCGCGGGATGGGATGCTATGTGGTGATGATGGGAAAGCAGAAGGAGGGAAAAGCGATTTCCTCATCCTCGCTTCCGACGGCCTTTGGGATCGGATTTCTTCTGAGCATGCCGTCGAGTGCGTGTCCCGCTATCTCTCCGCGCGCGCCCGTGGCGGAGGCTCTGTGAAGCAAGACCCGGAACTCCTGCGCAATCCTCCCGTTTTCCCTCAAAACTTCTCTAGCTTGGACCCAGGTGTGACGTGCGACCCCGAGAAAGGGGAGGATGTAGACTGGAAAGCGGAGCCGCAGTATTTTGCGATTGAAGATGAAAATGCGGCGGTTTGTTTGGCGCGGAATGCGATGGGTGGGAGTAGGAGGGGGTTGTTCCTTGGGGTTTTGGCGGGGCCGGAGCCGTTGAGTAGGAATGCGGTGGATGATACTACTATTATGGTTGTGTTTTTTGATAAATTGGAGGAGGGTGGTGCTGGGGCAAAGAACGGTGGTCAGAAGCTAGTGGAGGGTGAGAAGAAGAAGAGGTGGTGGTGGCCGCTGTGAGGTGAGATGAGATGGCTATGTAGGAGAGGAGAGAAAAGAAGGAAATTCAGACATTAACAAGATCGATGTACTCATGAATGACAAGAATCCACCACCACCCCTCCGCCTCCCCTCCGCCTCCCCCACCCACCCTGTGTTGGCGGGGCCGGAGCTATTGAGTAGGAATGCGGTGGATGATACTACTATTATGGTTGTGTTTTTTGATAAATTGGGGGAGAATAGTGCTGTGGCTAAAAAAGGTGGTCAGAAGCCGGTGGAGGGAGAAAAGAAGAAGAGGTGGTGGTGGCCGTTGTGAGGAAGGATGCGGCCGCTCGAACGACAAGGGTTCATATGATGAGATATGGATGGCTTCCTAATTCCATTTCAGACCTGAGATGCCTATTGGTAGACTACAGAAAAACAAAGCAAGAGAGTAGTGATGTTGATATCATCCAGTCCAAGCCAGCCAAAACAACGCCTCAAACCAAGCCATGCAAATGCTACTGATCCTCTCAACCAAAAAGAGATGATGATATCACAACCCCCCATCCGAAAAACGCAACAGTCCCGCCCTCCGTCTGACTTTCCTCATCTCCTCATCTGTCCCATCCCTACTCCTAGGCCTCTTCCTGCCACTCATACCACCTACCCACCCCCGCTTGAAGCATAACCCCAACCCTTTCCAAGCCCCCCTGCCCATACCCCAATACATACATCTGCGCGCCCACTGCCCACTCGCATAAACAACGCCATACCTCTCCCTACACAGACGAATATCTTCCCGAGCCATGTTGAGAGCAAGAATACATGGCTGGCCCACCTCCTAGGAATACTACTGTAGGAAATCGCGTTGAACGTTGATGAACGCGCCGGGCCCGCCGTCGTCGGCGAGTTCGGTGACGAGGGCTTCGGTTTGTTGGATTAGGCGTTCGAGGGCTGCGGAGGAGGATTTACCGAGGGAGACTGTGTGGGTGTTGTTGTTAGTTTGAGCTCTTTCTTCTGCATCTTCCATCTTGTACGTACCTAATATAGCGCTATTGAGTTCCTCAGCAACAGGCGCCCTCCCCGAAATCTCCAGTAAAGGCGCCAGCGCACTCTCCCGCGCATCCGCATATGCTATAAGCGCAAACGTATCCTCAAGAGCGCGCTTGACCTCCCGTCTTGGGTCGTTGGCGAACTCGGATTTCAGCTCCATGCCATATGTTATAGTTTCGCTTGTCGCTCGTTCGCTCTTTGCTACTTTATCTTCCATGTCGTCCTCGTCTCCGACTTCCAAGTAGTCGTCTTGGTCTTTGTTGTCCCAGCTGGGTGGTGGGTTGTGTACGCCTAGTTGCTCGTCGAGCTCCATTTCGAAATCGTATTCTTCTGTTGCGGTTGAGTTGCGCTTGTTGGGATTCGGAGCGGTGGATCGTTTGGATGATGGTGCTGGTGCGGATTGGCATTGTGCATTCAACTCTCCGCATCGTCGGATCATCTCGATGAACTTTCGGCAGCGGAGTTTGAAGTAGATGTTTTCGTTGTCGCGAAGCACTGAGGGGTAGTATGCGGTGGTGTGCTTAAGCGCCTTGTCAATGTCGCCCTCGAGGATAGCTGTCCGTATTTCTGCTTCCTGTTAGCCTGCGTTTGTACCCTGAGGGACGAACTTACTTTGTCGGTTCAGCGCATCCAGATCTTCTACTGCTGATCGGTATGAAACGTCTGTCTCGTCGTTATTCGCAAGCGCTCTTGCTTCCTCGACAATCTCATCCGAGAAAGCTCGTGTAGTCTCTACGTAGCCGTCGTGCGCCAGATATTGTCCCACCAGCTGATGTATCAACGCATCCTCGCCTCCCAACGCACCCGCCTCTGTTTTGGTCCGGGCAATCTCAGCTTGTATGGCGGCCTTCTCGTCTTGTACCATCTTGTCGATATCGAAAGCGAAGGGTTCTTGGCCGAAGTTGACGCGGACCATCTCGCCGGGCTTCTTCATGCCTACAGTAGGATAGTATGGCATGTTGGGTTTCAGATCTCGGAAAGCCGTCCCTGAACCTGTTAGTACTATCTATATCCCTCACTTCGCATACTCACCTTGCATATGACCATTCTTTGTGAAGAAAGCAGTATTTGTCCGGAAGTTGATGCCACAGCCGATAACATCCAGTGTGCCAAACTTAGGCCCGTATGACTTTCCGGAAGTGGTATTACTAAAGACCTGGCCATCGTCGCCATGGTACGCATACGAGTCGGGCTCCCAACCCGGTATCCTGCTGAGAGCGACTTTGGGTCCTGAGAAGCCTACTCCGATCATTCTACTGCCCAGTGAATTAGCGTGTGCATTAAAAGGTGTCAAACAAACATACCCGTCTTTCCCCTTAGAAACAACAGTAACCTCGTAGTAGTAGATCCCACACTGCCGCGGCATGGGAAAGTCCGCGCGAACCGACGCAGCTTCATCGTGTGTCTTCTGTGAGCCCGAGAACTTGGCCAGCCTCTGACCATCCTCCAGCTCAAGCTGAGGAAACCTGTCTGCGTCATTCCACCGTGTCGGCCATGGCGCTACCGGCTCGTCCACAAAGACCGGCGCACGCTCTACTATCTCATGCGTGAGACCGCGATGTGACGGCGCCATCTTATGCAGGTTGACGCTGCTAGAACTAGTAGACAGCGAGCCTGCATTAGACGAGTGCGTTGACTTGTATTCCCGCTGGGCTGCCAGCTTCGCCTTGTGCGCCTCTTGTAACTTCTCGGCGTGCTTGGACCCGCGCAGGTAGGAAGGCACGAAGAACGGCGGTATATCCTGTGTCGACCCTCCCAAGCCATGCCAGTAGCCAGACTGGCTGGAGTATGAGGGCAGTGGCCCACCGGCCCTTCCGAAACTCGTAGACATGTGGCCGTCGGCGTCGATGGAGCGAGAGAGGCGGTTCGGGTGCGATGTTGAGCCGCTGTTGGCGAGATGTGCAAAGGCGCCGGATCGGGTGGGTTGTTGGAATGAGCTATTGCTGCCTGCCGACGCAGCAGCTACTCTGGCGTAGCTGTCCCTCCGAGGATTCATAGTGATCGATAGTGGCGCTGCGGCCAACTACCAGCGTGTTCGGGCGGACGTTTGGAAGCGATCGCAAAGGGCGGACACGCAGACTACGCGAGTAGTAATGGTCGAGCGGGCGGTCGTAGTCGCTGACGGTGTTTGGAGACGTCCAACAGCGCAGTGACGCGTGGGCTAGCTGTCTCTGGCGCCGAGTGAATGCGGTACTCTGTGCTGGAAGGTGCCAACGGCGAAGGCAAGAATCAACGGCACCCGGGCTCCTGTGAAGCGATCGTCACAAATGCATTCATGGTATCATCAGCGGAGGATTTGCTGCAGGAAAGCTAGCGAAGGTGTGCTGGGTAGGTTGTACGTCAATGAGGTCCATGGGCGGAGGTTTGGATGCGCCGAGCTATCGGTGGAGATCCCCGCGATCCACGGGTACGATAACGCCATCCAGGTCACGCTCATCCTTGACATTCATCATACTATGCAGCTTCAAAAGTGGGCACTCTACAATCTCAAGGCGCGAGAAGATATACACTGTCACGTTGATATGCTTCGGCACGGCATATTGGCAATACCCGCTACCGAGGTTCTCAAGATGCATGCATGGACAAGTACTTGTAGTTTGACATGGATATTCAATTCTCTCCATAATGCTATGCAAAGCCCCTTTCCGACTCTATCCGGATTCCATATCCGTACCCAGTATTTGGAATGTCCATTCACAACATACTTGTGCGCCGTACACCATGCTGCCCGTGGCAAGCCAGTGACGCCCCAGTTGGCGCCTTTTACGTAGTAATGCAATGCGCTCCCTCAACGCCAAACAAGACAAAGGAAGCAAGTCGATATAGTAAACAGGTAGCAAGAAATAAAGTAAGGCCGAGCCACAAGAGATGCAGGCTGTAGCAGGAGTACATCAAGGGAAATGAGGCCAAGAGCGTTCATGCCTCAAGCGGGAATAGGAGCAGGAGAGCTTGCTATGCCGTTCATGGGCGTTGGTACGGGTGTGCTGTCGCCGTTCAGTCCGCTCTTGTCGCTGATCGCGCTGCTCTCGTCCTTCAGTTTGGACTCGCTGGTGCCGGTGCTGTCGCTCTTGACGTCGTCGGCGAAGGCGCCCTTGCGACCTGGCTGGTATGTAGGCACTTGCCACATGACGCCGGTGAAGCTGCGGACCTGAAATCCCTTCTTCTCCCAGCGACGGCACTTGGCCCCTGACCTGTCGAGGGCGCGCAGACGCTCGTTGATGGCTCCCAGGTTTGCCTTGGGGCCTGCCTTGTTGATGGCGGCGGGTGCTGGGAAGGGCCCCTTGGAGTTGGGGTCGTTGATCATGTCGCCCATCTTCTTCCTCTTTGGCCCTGGCTTGGCCTTGGATGGTTTGGGGGTTGCGCCAGCGCCATTCGCGCCAGCTTCCATCTGCGCAGCACTCCGCTTGCTGCCGGGCTTGGGGCCCTTCCTCTTCGACGAGGGAGGGGCCAGCGACGACGGTGTGCTTCCGTTCATGTTGGGGGTTGAGTCGGCGGGCGTGGCAGCAGGTGAGGGCTCGTTAATCTGCGGCGCGGGTGTTGGTGGAGAGGGCTTGGCCTCTTCCTTGGGCGGCGTTGCAGGCTCGTGTGGAAAGTCTCGCAGAGAATCCGGTGACAGCTTGAGTGCGACGACGAGGGTCTTTGGTGATTTCGTGGTCATGTTCGCGTGCAGAGGAACGCGGCGATGATGGACGGAGATGGCTGATGTGGAGGGCAGCAGAGATGGGGGTGGTGATGGTTTGGCCTGCAGCGGTGAGGAGAGAAGACAGTGGCTCTGCCGGTCAGCGCGTTGGCGTGTCGGTGGCTAGGGTGAGCAGCAAGCTGGGTGAGCCGTGCTTCACAGGAAGTCGAGGTATCGTCGAGCTGATGAAGCGCGTCGATGCAAGCAGAGCGTGGAGAGATGCAGAGGGGGAGTGGCAGGGAGAGTGGGTGGTGACGAAGGTTGCCGCGAGGGCAAAGAAAGGGCTTCGCCGGCCCAGCTGGGGTGG